GCGGGGCGGGGCGGGGCTGTGTCCTTGCCCCGCTACTGCAGGGAAGAGGCGGTTGGACACAACCTGTCCCCACCCGGGGCGGGATCTCTTCTGCCCTCAGGTTCTCTCTCTCTGGGGCCCAGCGGTAGTAAGAAAACTCACGGGCTGGCCGGGCGCTGCCGCGCTCCCCGTCACCTGCCGCCGATGTGCTGCCCGCTGTTTTAGTGTCGTGGACGAGTCTCGCAGAGACACCCCGGCACGTCTGCTGTGCCGAGCCGGGCCGGGGTGACTATCAGCCCTTCTTCGTGCAGTGGATGCTGCAGACTCCCAGGGCAGCCAGACCCATCTTCTGGCAGCGCAACAGCACGAGGCTGCTCTGTCTGAGCACCCAAAGCCTAGTGACACCCATATAATTTTAAGGCAGCTACTACAGTTACATGTCATTGAGACATCTTTTTTAACTGCAGGCTCTTTTGCTGGTGACCCACACAGGCATCCTCAAGGGAGAGCTGAAGAAGTTCTCCGGCACCATGGTGATGCCCAGATTAAATCATTCCTAGTTGAGACCTTGAACTGATTTACACAGCTGCTCCCTGCTTCTCTGCCTGATTCAGGTTACTAACAACTGCACCTGAAGTGAGTAGACCTAACAAGGGAAGTAGAGATGAAGCCTGCCGGATTTCCAAGATTTTAGGGACAAAAGCAGCTGGGAAACAATTACAGCTGATCTGTGCCCAGCGCTCAAAGTTGCAAGGAGCCCTTCAGACTCTGCTCTACCACTGTTCAAGATACTTTTTTATCTTTCCAGACTACTCAATTGCATTTGGTTTTACAGTAGGTTCATGTTCTGTAGGTGACTTACCTATAGAACATACTGAATTTGATTTCAGCATCAAATTCAATAGCAAATTTAAACATTTCTTTAATCGATTCATTTTTTTAAAGTTTGCATTTACTAAATAACAATAAGCCATTATTGCTTAAGTATAAGCAATATTTTATAAGTCTATTGCATAGTTTGTGTTACATGTTTTGTCTTTGAAGTGTAGCTTCAATTATGAGATTGGACCAGCTTTAAAGATTATAAACTGGTTGAAGGTTCTCTGAATTTTAATTATGTATTACTTAGTCTTTCACTTTGTGGAGAAACTGGTATTTATTTTTTACAGAACTTTAAAATAAAACTATAAGGTAAGAGCTCCCCCTAGTGTCTCATCTTCAGCAACAAGTAACTAAAGAATTTCAGAGCTGCAGTGACAGAGGTGCTAACTAACACACAAGCAAGTAAAACCATTTCAGTTAGAAATACAAAGTGGGGAGGGAGTCTATACTTGCAAGCCCACAAAGAACCAAGTCAATACAGGAGGACAGCATGCATAAACTTCGAAGTGAATATTAAATAGTATAGAACAAAAAACAAAATTAGAATAATACTTTTTCTTTTCATTGTTAATAAAAATAGCGTCTTTATTTTGCATTGAGTCTGGTATGTTTCCTAAAACTAGCTGAAAGAAATTAACTGCAACTAATATTTGGTTTAACTAGGTTTGATGGGATATGCGCCACTGGGTTTTCAAACAGTTTCTTTATTCTTCTCTAACACCAAAATTCAGTGTTGAAGTAGAACAGGAATCACTGTGATTGTGTGGCGCACACACACGCAAAAGAAGTGCAAAGGATGAGGTCTGAAAAGTTTCTACATTTGGGCTGCTTACAAGAGTAAAAACACAGAACAAAACAGTACTTTACTTCTAACTGGGTGCACCTCTGTGCCAAGCCCAGCACATGCCCAGAAGAAGCATTGTGTTAGTTTGTATAGAACAGGCACTTCAGGTGGGGCATTTTTGGCACTTTTATCTATCTGATTAAATCAGCTATTAGATAAAAACACCACTGAAGCACCTGATCTATACAGATGCTGCAGAGCTGGGTTGAGCTAATTTGCTGCCTCTTCTGCTGCTGGTAAAGCACGTGTTTGTTTGTTCCACATCTGTCAGCAGCCTTGTTGTTTAAATAGTGCACAGCAGCTCTTGGGCATGACTTGGGCCCTCCCTCTAGAATGGTGTTCTTGAAATGTACTGCCCAAGCTATTCCAATCATACTACTCTCATTGCTCAAGTTGAATAGAATGGATTTTCCTGTCTCATGAAAACTTGAGATGTTTTTAAGTCCTGCCCTGGTCTTGGGATGAAAGATTTTCTCCAAAAATAGAGGAACCACCCCAGAACAGCCTGTATCACTCACCTAGGATATTGGAGGTGCAGGTTAAAGGGGAAGTCTTTATCCAAGTGTCAGCAAACCTCAATAAATACTGAAAATAGATTGTATTTCAAGTATTAAAAAAGTTTTGTTAGAGAACTTTAGGACAGTAAGTATGTGAACTAGGAATTATTTCTTTGCACTATCACCAGTTGCTATCAGTATTAAACAATGGCTAATTTAAACCAAAAGTTAAGTATTAAACAAGTGTTAACTTCAAGGTTTGATAAGTTCCATCATCTTTTTCTACAGTTAGTGCTCCATATTTACTGTCAATACATGCTTCTATCATCAAGAAATGCTCTTATGGTGGTGTGGAGAACAAAATTCATTCAAGTATTCTAATACTGCTGTGACTGTTAACAGTGTTATTAGAATGAAATGTACAAAAAAGGCCCACATATTACAGATTAGAATTTTTTCTATATCTGCTAATACAACCTAAAAGTACATTATTATACCCGGATAATCAAAACAAGCTAATTTTGACATAGTCCACATACAAAGTGACAAAGCTTACAGTAAATCAACCATTTTACTGTATTAATGTAAACATAAAATGCAAATATTCAGATGACTTCCATTCAATAAAATCAATGCAGCTCAACACAGAAGCCATTTGTGGTCTAGCTCACAAGTTCAGGCTGTACTTTTATTCTTTGAAGGACCTCTTCAGGCATACAAAAGACAGGGCTGACAGGCTTAATTTGTTCTTCTCCTAACAAAGACAGTCCAGCAATTCCAAATAAGGTGTGAAAAGGATCAACCTGAGTGGGGGGGAAAAAGAAGCAAGAACCAGTTTACATTTGGCAGCTAAAACCCTTTAGGAATGAGCTGTAAAAAGCAATACCGAGGCTAGGGACAGAAATTACACATAAACCAGTTTAAACCTGTAACAGAACAGAAGTTCAATACACGCATACTGGTTTAAAAATGGCAGAACCCAGCTTAAAATAGACCAGTATCAGATTAGGTTAAACCAGTCTATCAAACTTCTGTTCCTGATCCCTTCCTGATTCAAGTTAGATCAGTCCCCTGGTATCCCAGTATGATTTGCAGCCCCCACACTAACTCTCCATTGTAAGGGGGGGCTACTCTCGGCTAGTGCTCCTCTCCTCTACTCTGTGTCTGGACCATTTGGGCTGGCTTCACCCCCAGGGCTGTCACAGCAAAGCCTCTGCTTCCCAGCCCTGTGTTCTGCCTGTACCTGTTGGCCTGGTGGGGGGCAGCAGAAAAGAGGTGGGGGAATGGAGTCCCTACACTCTGGCCTCCTTGCAAGCTGGCGTCTGCCCAGCTGGAAGGTGCCCCCTTGCTGCAGGGGGGCCCAATCCTTCCCTCTATGGAGTACTGCATCCCTGCCACATAGCGTAGTGTTGGCATTTGCCTACTCTTCAGCTTGTGAAGACAAACTTGAGTTCCATTCATTAACAGTCCTATCTATGCAGCTTAGAGAAACCTCTGAAGATTGGATCAATTCTCCCTTGGGCTTTTTAACTGTCTGTGCTCAGCCTCAAAGAGCAAGATGGTTCATAGAGGAGACTGGGAAACCTCAATAGTGATTCAAAGTTTATTTTAGAAAATATTTCTACAGCACAAATCCCTGTTGCATATTATACAAATACTTTCAGCTGTCAGAAATAAATATTAATAAACATGTAAAACAAACAAACAGAACAATAGCCAACTTCAAGTTATATGCATGTAGCAGCAAAATGCAATGTCCCAGATGTTTAAATTGTGTATTACTACCAAAACACTATTTAAAATCTAAGTTTAACAGCATGCAGGCAGATACTGGGAAATGCTTTTTGGTCTTCTACTCCAATACCCCCAAACGCTACCACAACATGGCAGAATCAGAACAGCTCCACACTGTTAAATGTCAGAGACCAAGCTGGTTGTCTAAAGGAAGCTCTTCCATAAACTCTATATGCATGTTCTTCAGCAACATTATATTGCATTTCAGCACTTTCTCTGTACCGAAAACTGCACTGATGAGCCCGAGACATCAAACATGTAACTAGGGATAAAGCAGAGGGGAAAACTGGGATATGAGACGGTTATTTTCTGGGTTCTAAAGGATTTCTTAAGGAGATGGCAAGTTTCCCCCAAGAGGTTTCCAAACCCTATTCGCCTGCTATTATATACTGACAACATAGAAGACTCTTACTTAGTCCTGAGGATATGTACACATTTATTAGAGTCAACCTAGATAACTAACACTTGGTTGCAAGTATCCAGCTGAGCCTGAGCATGAAGAGCTGTGCTGCAAAATCCTGTCCAAGTGACTACCACCATCATTTGAGTTGTAAAGATTCTGGGACATGTTTGCTGTTTCTTTTTGTGATGTTGTATAGTCCTTTTGCAGTGTACTAGGGAGAATGTCTTTTTTCCCCTGCAAGCTCAGAAACAGTTAAGCCATTTGACAGGTAGTTTAGTGACTGGGCTGCGTGTGCACTGTAAGTGGGAAGACACTAGGCTCTAACCATATGAGCAGCAGGAGTATGTAGCCTGGGCGGAGAGAAACAAAAACAAGTATCAACAACATCAC